AGCTCAAATTGAAGAATTGTACAAGTGAGCTTCAGTCCAGGGCATGACAGCTACACTGTGATGCCCAAATACGTTTTGAGGTAATACTGGATGCGTGATGGGTTCAGGAGGATTAACGAAGAAGAACGGCATTCTTTGCAACAAAATGCCCGCCTGAACGAATTACTACAAGAACGAGACAAATTGCAATCAAGTGCGCAAATGCTTTAAATATCAGTTTTTTGCTGCATGGCAAGGAAGATGTCACATGAGGTCCACAGTTTTCAGGTAGAACATGTAGAGCTCTTCGCTGATAAATACACTCTCACGCGTTGTTGAACGTTTCACTGGCGCTTCCGCATTTCCGCAGTGACTGACAGGCTCACGTCCACCAGCGAGTCTCTAACAAGAGACAACTTTGAAGCTATGAAGACTATTAAGGACCTAGAATCCAAGTTATCTAAAGGCAAGTCCCACAGTACCAGCAGATTAATGGGACTATGGCAACAAACGTTTTACCAGACAACATTAACATTTTAGAACATATATACGCCCCTGCTGAGTGAGTAAAAGCTGCCTTACGTGGGAGGCCAAAATCAATAGTGATTTGGTACTTCCACCGACAGCATCGAGAGACGTCCGTTCTTTCCTGTTTATTGCTGGTTCATGCAGTGGGACATTTACCTATTTTTGTCACAATGTTTATTGTTCAGCGGTGGACAAATCACTCTTCTTTTATAGGTGTTGCTAGGTGTTCTGGTATATCGGAGTGATAGTGCTGCTTTGGACTCCACAAAGCACTCTCCGTTGATAATGAATCTCCTCAGGTCTTCAGGACCTTTACACTACGCAGGAACAATTGCAGGACCGGCGTGCTGCAGCTGAAGAGGAGGCAAAAAAGCGGGAACGCCTAGAAAGGCAGCTCAAACAGAACAAGTCAGATTACACAAAAGTAGCGCGGAAAGGGAAAGTAGCTGCAAAACATCATGGACGTGTCCACTCAAGTCTAAGAACCTAAAATGCCCACAAGAGCGAGCCAGCATGAAACACAATATTCTATTGTTAGGTTAACGCATGACTCGGCAAACAAACTCGTCCTACTTGCTTGTGGTCAGTCGATTGCAGAGCGCACTTTGAACAACAGCAGCAAGAAATTGTAAAGAAACAAGCAGAGCTGGCACAGTCAGAGGAGCAAGTAAGACCATTCTCAAAATCACGAATGGCATTACCACCGCACCACACACAAAGTGATCAAGTAAAAGCCATTACGAATGCGTTTGATGGCTTCTAAACTCCTCTTACATGCGAGGCTTTTGTTCATTTAGATCGCTGCCCTGCAACAGCAGCTGTCCGTGACACAGCAGCAAGTCCAGCAAGAGGTGCAAGAATCACAGGAAATTCAGAGGCGCATTGCCGTAAGTATAGGCCGCCTGCGCACATCCTCCAGAAGCGTTCAAACATTCTCGCATTGACGCAATTTGAAAATCATCACGTACTTCCGTGGGTGTGCAGCAAACAGAACTTCGTCTAAATGACCAGATCTACAAGAATAGCCGTCTCAAGGCAGCAAACGAGTGCGAATTATTCGGATGGCATTTGTATTCTGGTTTTCTCTCCTTGGGGCGCGCTTGTATAACTCTGCAAGGGCAGCTGATGGTGTCAAGCGTCACGTTTGCCCTCCTGCGGAACTGCCCACAAGCATGATATGCTGCGTCACCTGGACTCTTGTTGCCTACTTGTTTGTGGGGCTTCAGGGAAAGAGAAGCGGAGCTGAGGGCAAAGCAGGAAGAGCTCGAGCGCATGAGATCGGAAAAGGTGAGCAGCATCGACTCTGAACTGAAGTGTTGGACTCAGAAACTTCGGCTCATGGGGCTTCTGCACAGTTGAATCACTGCTTTGCTCGCTGTTACCTGCTGGTATTTTTATACCACACCATAAACACACGAAAACAGCTCCCTGCAATTTAGAGATTCCTGGATGCAGGATCGAGTGATCAAGCTTCACGAACTTCTGAAGAAGAAGATGCAGGTCCTTGAGGCGGACAAACGCACTTTAGATGAGCAGGCGACCGGTAACTCTTGTCAAGCGGTCCCTCTTTTGTTTAGTTAGTTTTGCCACTTCCGCCCGCTACGTACAACAAGCCGGCGCATCGTATCATACATTCACCACAAAGGCACTTAAACAGAGCAGCTTTTCCGTGGCAGTGTGTTAAAATTTCACAGCGTTGAGGCTAGAAACATCCGCTTCAGAAAAAGAAATGGACACACTAAAGCAGCAGGTACCATGAACAAAAGCTTTCCCCTGCGTAATGGTGGCATAACAAAGCAAAGAATAGGCAGCATATGTACCCATCTGCCACCATCTTCCCGCCTTGTCGACGCTCTACTTCTTATTCGCTAAAGTTAACTTGTTTTCTGATGTTTTGACCAAAATTCCCCTTTTGGTTGAGTGGAACGCAGGCAGAGAATGACAAGCGCCAAATCGAATCCCTGTTGCGCGAGAGGTGACCTGCTGTTGAATTATAATTGTGCTTGTAGCGACGCCGCTTGTGGATGAAAGCAATCCTTCACAACAGCGCTAGGTCCACCACTACGCGCTACCTGTTGTTGATAAGTATGTCTTGCGCAAAGGGATTTGTTGTCTAAGAACCTTCTTAATGCGGACGCGACTGTGAAGAAGCATGCAGACCTGGCCAAGCAGCAACTCACCCACTGCGAGCACCTTGAGAAAGAAGTTGAAGGGTATGTTCATCTTTGTTAAGGACTGTTTCCTTTTGCAAATAACCGTCTTTAGGCGCAGGTGGTCACCGCTCCGTGGCCGGCGTTTGCGAAGTTTACCCTGGAGCAAATATGTTCAAATATCATTAGAACATATTTCTTGTTCAATAGGTTTCGACGGGAATGCCAGCAATTACAGCAAAAAGTAGAAACACTTGAAGCGGAAAGGGATCGCTATGGACACACTCTCAACAGGAGCAATCAAAAGTCGGGCCTCACCAGAATTTATGCCACAGTTATCTGTTGCGGAATTTGCGAGGAAGTGTTCGATAAGCGTTCCCCTTAAACGTTAATGGTGACGAATCTAAATTCAAAGTCCTCGATTGTACTTTTACTGGCGGAGGTGCTAAGCACACTACTGTGTTTTGGACCGCCCCTGCACACAGCACACCAAAGCTCTCCCAAACAAATTAACGTATTTTTATCCCTCGAGGCTTCTCTGCTGTTTGAATTCAGGTACTTAGAAAGTCTAGAGCAGCTTAAAAGTGAGGAACTGCGAGTGGCTGAGCTGCAACGATCCATTGGAGAACAACATGCAAAACTTGCTGCACAGAAGACATTGTATGAGGCTGTGCGTTCCGATAGAAACCTTTTCTCAAGAAATCTTATAGCCAGTCTCGACGAAATGACAGAGCTAAAACAGTAAGCGGCGCATACCTAAGATAAATGCGCGTGTTTTATTTTCTGTCCCATTCACGTCGATGGAGGCAAACATTGCCTAATATAGACTTCATGAGGTGCTTGCCCGAGGGCACGTTTTTAGGGGTTTGCGTTACAAGTGGTGTTAACCGACATGTACGTGGAACAATCATGCACGTTTGGTCGTGTTTCTGATGCCTTGCTGCAGTAAGTTTAAGCTCATGTTTCAGCAAGTGGGCCAACTAAAGGAAGAAATAAAGGGGAAAGATGCAGGGTTGCTAAAGCAGCATTTCGAACATAGAAGAATAACGTCAGAAAATGAAAAGCTGAAGGAGGACCTGGGCAAGGCTGAGAAGAAACTTGGCTCTCTTGAGCAAATCATTGCGTCACAAAAGCAAGTTCAATGAAAAATGAACTGCAGAGCTGACCACCGGCGAGCCACTCATTATCAAACCTAAAGTATAAAAGCTAAAAGGTTTGTTTTGTTGTTTCTGAACTACAATTGAATCACTTGCAGGGCACTGAGCACTGGTGTGTGCAGACGTGAAATTAAGAAGCTTGAAGAGACAATGCAAGAGGCCACGGCTGAGAAGGCAAACCAGGCAAAGGAGTTCTCAGCGGTATGGCAAATTATCCAGGGAAAGAAGAAGCTCTCTTGAACATTATTGCCTCCCCTCTGACAGTGGTTTTAGGCGTTTCTTCACTGTTACACTGTGCAAGATGGCTTTCGCAGATATTGGCGGAAAGGGATATGCTGGGAAATCAACTGCTTAAGAGAAATCAAGAGTTGGCTCTCCTATATGAAAAGGTGAAAATCCAAGAATCCACGCTGGCAAAAGGTGAAGCTCAGTACAAGGTATGTTGTGCCGCTCACTAATCTAGAAGGTGAGAAGGCTGGTTTTCACAACAACGGGCTGGACTTAAATAACGACATTTTTCCTTACTGTATTTTTTGCGAGGCTGCACACTCTATTCTACTAAAAGTTCTATTCGCCAGACCTGGCATTCAGTTCCAGTACCCGAGATTTTGGTGTTTTCATTCAGGAGAGACTCAAAGAGATAAAGGACTGGAGCCGACAGTGTTTGGCGTTCAGACGGGAACTTCGCAACCTTGAAGGAGGCGTGGCTGAAATGGAAGCACTCAAGCGGGAAATCTTACAGCTGCAGAAGGAATTACTGCAAGGCAAGTGCTAACCACCTGAAAGCGTCCACGTTCAGCTGTGCGTGTGTAAGCATGTCCTAGATGTCGCGATGCACTTCGCTCTACTGCCGAATAACTTCCCCAAGCGCAATAAGCCAAACTGCACAGTAGAAACACAGAACACAGCATATTTATTTGGCTTGTGCTGCTCTTTTGGGACTATGTTGTGCGCAGAGAGGACAAAGGTCAGGGCTTTAACTGAAGCGCTGGCAACGCCCATGAACGTACACAGGTGGAGACGGCTTGAAGGGACTGACCCAGCCAAGATGGAACTGGTGAAGAAGATTCAGTCTTTGCAGAAACGACTGATCGCCAAGACTGAGGAGGTATATGGACAGACACTTTGAAGCAAGGGCACAGAACTGTCGGTTAATCTTGGCGTATTTTAATATCCAGTACTTCTAATGCAAAACTGTACGCCGGCTCAGGTTATTGAAAGGGATCTGCAGATACAAGAGAGGGAAAAGCTCTTCGTGCAACTCAAGGTATGCTTAGAACTGGCAGACGACTGCAGTACAGGACTAGAGCAAAAGCCATCAAGCGATTTCGTGTGGCTCTCTTAGTTCAGGGGGCATGTGCTGTGCTGCTTTCTATTTTGAATCAGACGGCGCTCAACAAGCAACCTGGAGTTGAGGTTTTCGCTCAAATGCAGACTCTACAAGCGGTATGAATCTTCAAGTAGCTGCCTTTAGATACGGCAATTCAAACTTTCATCGTCATTTGTCCGCGTTGCTCTGGCTGACCCCCAGGATGTTCGCACCAAAACCAAACAGCTCCGCGCCGCCGTTTCAGAGTTGCAAGTTCTTCATAAGGAGGCAAGAAAACTACGTACTTTTCGACTAGGACGTCACAGACACCTTTTAGATGTCTAGGGGACGAATTAGTCTCAGAGCCAGAATAGCCATGGCCATGCACAATGCAAACGAACAACTAACTTTCGACGCCCACAAGAACATTTCAACGCGTGTGCATGCGAAAAAACAACAGCCAGTTTGCACACCCTGCCCCGTTCGTTCTTTCTACCATTGCAGGTCACAACCAAGAGAGACGAAATAGAAAGACTTCACAAGGAGCTGGAGGTTTGTCTTTACTATATCTACTCCCTGTGTAGCAACGAGGAGCAGTGACAAGAGTTATCAAATTCGGCAGAGGCTAGAATTTAAATGAGTAGCTTGTTTCTTGTTGGATTTTTAGGCGGTAAAAAGCCGCTATATTGACGGAAGACGGATTGAAGCAGGCGAACAGCAGAAGGAGCAGCAGCTTCAGGAACAACCGGTTAGCGCTACGCCAAAATTGACACTCAAACAATCAAAAACCTCAGCTTTATCGATGCACTGAAGCAGCAGAATCTGTTCGCCGCGAGCGTGGCCTGGTCGCGAACAGAGTTTGCGGATGAATAGACATCCATCCGTGCAGATGCACGACGTTGTCAGCATAACTCTAGATTTGTCAGCCTCCGCTTGTAGCAGATTGGCGTGCCTCTCCGCTGTGTCAAATGCAGGCAGACGAAGCCTCTCGAACTGATACATTCTTTTCCTCCAGCACTTTTGAGTACCTCACAGGGGGCGCCTCTAGCATTCAGAGCTGAAGGGGATGCTAGGAGACCCGTACCCCTTTTAATATGGGTGAGGAAACGCCAGTCTCCCAGTGATGTAATTTTTCCTCTTTGTGGAGACAAAATAGTGCAGATTTTTATGCGCGTTTGTAACCTGAATAATTCCAGCCTCCAGTGTGTGCCATGCGGCATGCACAGCATTTGTGGGAGCTCAGCCCGCTACATGCATTGGACGCCAAGCATCATTTCAGGGTCTCCACAGCGCAAACCACTGGCAACTCGTGGCCAACAAGAATATCAACAGAGTTTTTCCCAAGGCATGTAAAATTTAAGAATTTTGCAACGAGCTTGTGTTGCCGGTATGTTTTCCTATGCGCCTCCCAGGTACCGCAGAGGCAGCCACTTCTACAACCATAGTACCCCCCATCCTCATGAGTCTCTCATGCCCCTTTCCACCAGACCGCATGAGTAACTCCAGTGGCGCGTACAATAGTTATGGGAGCTAAGGGGCGCATTATCTTTAGGAACAAGTTGTCATCGTGGTGTTGGGTTCCTGTGGGAAGCTAGCCAGTGGTTAGGCCTCAAAATAGGCCACCATTGTTTAATATTATTCAGTATCCCGTGCCCTACCCAACAGTTCCGTTGATTCTGCCTTTTTCTAATTTCTTCATGCTATCAGCTTTGAGGATTCTTCCCAAACTCTGCTCATGAGGTTGGTAGAGCCTTCTATGATTGAACCGATCACTTTCAGACCCCAGGTATATGCGAAGGCTTATACGTTCCTTAATTTCTACTCCCGTTTGTTATAATGACGGATAAGACTAGCTTGTTCAGTAGATAAGGTCTTAATGGCTGCGTTCATGACATCGTTGTCTAGCAGCACTCCAGTCGCGCTCTGCAGCTTCACGGTGGATAAAAAATGAGCTTTCGAGCTGAAGAATAGTCATATGTAGATAATCACGTAGCTAAACTGGAGAGTGCCCGGCGAAGGGGGCCACTATTCGTGCGAGACTCTGGAACTGTGTTAGCAATTAGCCAGAAACTCTCTCGCCGACATGCATTTCTGTTGTTTTCACTGTTACCGTTGTTTCTAGGGGGACTTGAAACTTCCCACAAGAGCACATACAATTTGTTAGTGCTACAACGTTCATGAAAACCAGAAATCTCGATTCACCACCACTAAGTGGGACAAGCACCTTCTACCTGAAGGCCGCGCAGACACCCGTTCGCCTGCAATACCTAAAATCATAACAACTAGAATAGTGCTAACTAACTGATGCTTGAACATGTTGCAAGTGAGATCACTGGGCAGATGACTACCGGAAGTCTGTGATTCGGGGTTTTCACTCTACAGGTGCTCGAACCTTTGACGACGAAACACTACTGGCCCGATTAGGTTTGCAAAGGCAGAAAGTTGAATCATGCTTCTGTCTGACTTTCCTGATGTTTCAATGTAAGAATGTTAGCTAATTACCACGTCACAGATGGCCGCGCGCTTCGGTCTTTGAACATGAAGGGCATTCGGAGGTCTGTCGACTATGGCTAGATTCAAGTGTCGATGCACAGGGCATTTCTCACTTTTACATCAACTACCAAACGTCTCTCTGCAGAAACATTCAATCATCTACCCGGGAAACTAACCGATATCTCAGTATTAGAAAATAACTGAGCTAGCGTACCTTTGCTCACGTCGTCAGTGGTCACCATGCGCGTGGCCGCTTTGGGTAGCCGGTACAACTCAGTCACCGAAATTCCAAACGGCATAAGCAATGACACTTTATTCTAAAACTAATTTGAGTTTTCATTTCAATCCTTTAGTATTTCAAGCCAAAACTATGTCTCAGACACACAAAATGGCGTAAGTCAAAGCAATTTGTGCATCGTCGTCAACCTACCACCAGGTTACACTTTTTTTCTTTAGGTAGCTCACTGTTACTGCCGGTCAGGTCAAACAAAGCTTCAAACTGTGAGCATTACATGTTGGTAAATAAGGTTCCTGGAGTTGGTGAAGACACTACGCAACCAGCATTTCTAAGGATCATTGCAAGCACGTACTGAGCTTGCCATGTTAACTTTGCGAAAGGCCACATCAGGCTTCTACGCTATTCCCTCCCAGACACACACATTCCAGGCATATATAATCAGGATACGGCATTTTGGGTAAGGGTTTGGCTCCACATGCGTGCTCTTCCCCGTGTCCTCTTGCTTCTGTGCAGTCGTCCTATGAACACGAAGTCTGTTCGTTCAAAGCGCGCCGTCCTGACTTTCATCTTATTAGGACTCTTCTCTTTTCCTGTAGGACAAGCGTATCCAAGACAAAATCCATACAACTTCAGAGCGAGTGTTCCCCAGAGTAGGGTGTACAGCACGGCGGCGCCGATGCCTGCATGGAACGCTCGGCGGTGGAATTCCGTTCATGAGCTCTCACAGGCAATGAGAGCGCATGACAGTCCAAGGCATGTCACGGCCTACCCACCAAGCCAAAACACACACCCCCAACTGACTATCTCGCAGACGGCAGCCACCACTAGACGCGCGCCTCACGAGACTATTTTGACGACGCATGAATCCAGCAGTATGGCACCACGATACCCTGGAGTCAGCAGTGGAACACCACCACAACTCACCCAAGCCTCTTATGCTCAGGTCGTTCCAGAAGGCAGGGGAGTTGCATCTTCGTACGCTCCTGCAGTTGGTACAACCCAGCATTCGTCATCCGCCGCTAGCAGAAACTACACGGCTGCCGCCTCCACCCTTGTTAAGCCTGCTGCCCGCCGTTCTAATAACATGGGTTTCCGTCCACCCCCACAGCTTTTTAGAGATCCTCGGGGAGCTACGTATACGCAAGCTGGAAGGACCACCAGCAGCTTCATGGGAATTGCTTCCACGGATTCCTATAGTCCGTATTCGCCAGGAAGGCCGTCCGGGGGCACGCCAGGAACTCCCGAAGGGAGCGATGGCGCACAAACTGCCGAGACAACCTCTGCTGAGACCACTACTGTCGAAGAGGAGGAATCCGAGCCAACTGAGGAAGATGAATCTACCGAAGTGCAGAGTTCGGGTAGAATGGGGGAGAGAAGGACAATGAACCCATACGACCTCTCGCACATATTTCCGGATATTTACCAAGAAGAACAACCGCCTTCGCATGAGAATATGGCACATCAAAGCCTTGAGCTATTGGAAATGACAGCCTTGAACTCCTCGGATGAGGAATAGACATCCCTTAAGGAATGCCGTGAGAATGTCACTGCTGTCTGCTCAAAAGGGAAGAAAAGGCAGCGTCATGGCACAATGCATCACCGCGCTGCTAAGGCTAAATGGCTTTTGAATTTTAATCCCCGCAGGAAAAGCGTCCGTGAAACCCCGGTACAAATTAATCGAGTCGGTACCCTTGCTCATACTTGCGGAAAATGATTCGCTGCACCATATATATATATAATATATATATATATTATATATTATATATATATGCGTTTATTTCAAGAGAGGGCACAAACAAGCGTGTTCCGCCCTGTTGGCCACCGGCCATACTTTTTAAGCCTACGTTTCACTGCTCTATATGCTAAAATTACTTTACCGCCCTGACGCCTGCGCCCAGGAATCACCGCTAGCTAATTTTCATGAACTTGTTTCTCTATAATTCAACGGAGAACGTGGAGAAACTTCATACTGTACTGTGTTCAGCATCTTGAGCCGAACCTCACGAGAGTTCAGCCTCCGCTGCGCGGAGGCTGAACTCTCGTGAGGTTCGCTTTACTAGTGTTCCTACTGCCTACTTCACGCAGACCTCAATTGTTAACAGGAGCATACGCATCCGTGTATCGAATTCCAGATGAAATGCAGTTCAAACAAGCTTTAAGCGTCCAGATAAGCAGCAGGAAGCTCTCTTTGCCGAGCAGCAGCAGCATTATAAAGCACCTTCGCTACTGCAGTTGTTGCATCTTGCCTGCGAAGTACGCCAACTTACCTTATTCTTGCACGTTCGCAAGGGCTGTAGGTGATGCCATACATCATGATAGTAAGGAATGCATCGCTGTTTGCCTCCTTCAACGTATTAATCCAACTGACTGTTCTATGGGCAGCAGCAGCGCACCCCTCGATGTGTAGTTCCATGTACCGTGTTTCATGTTGCACATAACTTCTGCGCATGCCATTCGCTTAACTGTCGTCAGAGGCCGTAGTTGTCCTTTTGAAGAAGCTGTATGATGCCCCACCGCGTCCCTTCGTATCTGCTCAATTGTTACGAGCGCCACTATCCCTGGAGAAGAATGGTCATCTATAGTCATCCGTCAGCCAGAAAAAGTGTCAGCTAAACTACTGCATCGGAACCCCTGAGCACTCAGACAGCCGCCGCATCCTTGCTTAGCTTGCCCGCAAATTACAAGAGCTCTCGGTAAAAATCTGCACTTCGCTTATTTGATATCACCAAGGTAGGGCACAAAGGCGTCAGGTTACAGCATATCCAGACAATTCCATTCGACTTCTTCTGTGGCACCTTCCACTACGTTCAAAATGCAGCGAAGTCCCTCTTGTGCTTACCTATCCCACAAGAAACACTCTGGGGTCGCCGTGCGCGTTTTATCACAGAAAACGCATCAAATTGTCCTCCAGCTCTGGGGTACTTCACCCTAAGCTGGAACAATCAGGTATTAAAAAATGAGATTTGTACATTGTCAAGCTCCTGGATACTCAACAGAGCAGAGCTCAACTCCGACAGTGTCTGGGTGGTTGGCTGTGGCCCACTGAAAATTGTCGGCAGTCTCCAGAACAGCATAACAGTCGGTTCAGCGCGCAGTGAGGAATCCTCATGCACTGCCGCTAGCAAGTCCAACAAAAACTTGCGATCACCCTACCAAAAGATTAGGAAAAACTTAAACACGCCAATTTGCAGCTGTGTCCCGCACGCTACAGCAGGCCTTCATCGAGAACAGCGAGAAGAAGGCAGTTCCAAGCTGTGCATCCGCTCAACTTAATCAGCGCCAGTGGCCAAAATATCTTCGTCGATCGCCAAACTGAGTACGTCCTCAACA